GTATTTCTTTAAAGCTGGAGAATCTGTTACTTCCTACATACATCAGAGAAGCTTGTTTGCCCCAATAGTACAAACGTCTTCTCAGTAGAAATAAAGCTCTTTACTTTACAATTGACTGGTATAGCAAGAACCAAATAGCATGCTGTATTCATCTTATTTTAACTTTTACATACTGGGGTTCTGGCTGAGTGAGGGCTGCTACTCTGATCTAGCCTGGTCTTACCACACCATAGTACTAATTACATTTGGTACTAAGGTCTGGATCTGCTCCATTGACTCCGTTTACAGGTGGGAGGGGCTAACTCCTTTCGCAGATTGAAACCATTGGATCTGAGTTTACAGTGACGTATGAGCCCGTGTGAGTCATTAGCATTTAGCCTAGCTTTAGCCATCTCCTTTGCCGCTAACAGAGCCCGTGGGGAGTAGCGCCACAATTTTTTCCAGCGATTACATTTGCTAAACATTCCTATTGCAGAGGCGTCAGTTTCTAGATAGAACCAGACCAGAATACTTTACTATCGCATTCTTCGCCAAACTACGACTGTGAATAAAACTACTCAGTTGTCTGGACATCACACACGGACAGATTAGTAAAATGGAATCCAGGACTCTGTCTACATATAAAAGAAGGTTTAATGTAAGCAGAATACAGGCATTACAAGCTAATCAGCCTGGGTCAGCGCTAGATGGTAAAAGCAAAAGACAAAGAACCAAGCAACACTGCTTACTTCAGTTGTAGACGCCAAATGGGTTTGGTCAAGTCACAAGGCACAGTATGTCATCAATACACATGTCATTCAATAATCGTTTAGACCAGTTCCGAGTCTGAGCCTGAGGGTGTCTCTACAGGCTCTCATTGTCCTTCTAGACGTCCACAGTCCCATTGACCCCAGAGAACGGTGAAGTCAGCAGTCTCCAACGTCACATTGGCCTCATGACTTAGATAAGTGATTTCCTGCCATTGAATGCTGAAATGGTCCCAAACACATTCTATATGAAAACCCATACATTTATTAATATGCTAATAAACATTTCTTGACAACGACCTTCCCGTTCAATGCAAACTCTTGATGTCACCCACATCTAACTACAACACCCGCCTCCCGCGCTCGCTGATTGGTCGGTCGAAATTCAACCGATTGTAATCGCAAACACAGGGACCAGACCCAGACGCTACATGCAGGACATGATGATTAAGCGGAGAGTACGGATGGATAGTTGCTTTGAGAGCGATTTGATTAGATTTTTAGTGGAAGTTAGGTACTTCAGCTTTAATGGTGTCCCAATGCAACTAGGTGTCCCCCATCAAAGCACAGGGGCAAGACAGTTTTATAGGTGAAACTCGAAAAATTAAACAAAATCTATCTCGTTCAAAAATCTATTTACCTTTCAATGAACAACATGGAAAGTGAGATAATTATGGCTCAAAGCTGGAATAAATTTTGCCGTAACAACCCCTATAAATAACCGTAGATATTCAAAACAGGACACAGCCACAGGTTTTGGTGGTGCATGGTATTAACTTAAACTCTTTCGTCAATCAATTTTCTTGCAACTACCTGAAGAGAAAATATCTGGTATTCCCAGTGTTCCCAATGTAATAAACAAACCCAGACCTGCTTAAACTGGGTTAAAAAGCATCTTGTTTTGAAGTCCTTTCCATTACTTTACTTTGATCAATATAAATAAGCGGTAATATATTGTTTAGCTTGGCTTCTTACTTGGACTGTACACATATGGGTGCGTTTGAGGCCAATTATAGTTATTCAGTTAAAAATAATCCTTCACGACATACATATTCTTACCATCTTTACACGCTTGGCCACTGCTCTTTCATATAAAGCCTAATTTTGCGGTTTGGAGGCTAAACGTAGGTTAATTTCCTTTTCTAGTCGCCACATTCACAGACTCCTCTTCAAAACGAGCAGCTTGTGTTCTGTGATATTGTTTTGACCAGACACGCGCACAACACCTGCTGCTCCATGCGTCTTAGCCCACGGAGAATATTCCACCAGAGAGACATCCATCTATCTTCCCTTTGGCAGAAATATAGGAACAGGTGACAACACTCAAAGAACAGCCATCAGATTATTTGGTACACCATGTGCTGCCAGGACAACTCCGGTGCTTCGACGATATGAAGTGACTGCTCGGTACTGGCCAAAAGCCACGCCTTTTATAGTCAGTCTTTATGAGGAAATGATAGATTATTGAAAGTTGTGCTTTGTGCAGTAGGATTGTGAGTTGGACAGCTGTGCCCTTTGGAGAATTGTCTGATATCGATCGATCCGATTCAGTTTGTCCTCTTTAAATGTCACCTTGTGGTGTCTATCCTAAATATAGAACATTTGTCAAATTTGGTCTTACTGTTTTGTTACTGAGGTTAAAATAGTCAAGTTAGAGTTTGTTGACAATTATAGCATCACTCAATAACTTTCTGTAAACACCATTGTTGAAATCATTCTGATATTGTCAACATACTGTAAAGCTCCTGTGGCAGTAGGTTTGTAGTAGATGGATGCACATTAGTGAATGTAATGCTTTACACGGATATCTCTTACAAAGACGCTTAACATGACTTTAATTATAAACTCTTGTACACTTCTCTATTGTGAGATCAATGAAGTTTTATCTCATCTTATCTCTGTACACAGTGGTGGTAAACTACGGCTGTAGCCACAGCTGCCAGTTTTGTGCCATCAACTTTCTGCACCACCATTCATTCACCTACACCCCAGACTCATACTACTGTAGGTAATCTGTTGCCTAAAGACACAAGTCAGTTTGATACTTCACAGCCGCAGCCAGCTCCTCTGGCATCTGGTGCTCCCAGAGGTCTCCCATCACAGAACTAACCAGGCCCTGTTCTGCAACAACATCTGATGGTGTTAGGCTTTCCATTCACAGATTTGGCAGATCATGATTTCAGATTGCATCTCCTTTGAGAAGCATTATTTATCAATGAGTTTTTGCCGTGGCTCATTCTGTCTGCATGCCATTATCTATTTTTATTTAACAATGAGCGTCTTCCTGAGATTCAGAATCTCTGTTTCAGTGTTTATACTTTAGTGGTGGAGTAATAATGGATGAAACCAATGCAGACAATGGGAGAATGTACAATTCTCATTGTGAGATGGATTTGTGTGTGTTTTGTGGTGTCTTTGTATTGTCTTTTAAATGGACCTTGAGTCCGGAATAAAGATTTATTATATTAATAAAGTTGATCTTATCTAAGAACATACAAACTCCACACAGATATGCCAAACCAACCAAACTTTGTCCCTGTTTATTAAATCACAGCTCCAGACCACAGAGAAACGGTGAGACGTGTTGGTTCATATGACAACACCCATCGCCTCGAGGCGGCTCTTAAAACGTAGAAATAGTGGAAAAAACAGAGCGGAATTTCTCATTATCGCTAATGATTGCAACAGGACACTTATGCTTCCTTTTTCAGCTCTCTGCAGAATGTAGCCAACACCTGACAACAGCCTGTGTGTGTTGTTCGTCTGTGGTCTGCAGAGTTTAGAGCCACATCTTGAAATCACAGAAAATTAAATTAAATAGCCTTTGCTGCTGTTATTCAGTATTTCACACACGTGGGATGGTTCTTATTACTGTTCCACTCTAGATTTATCATGTGGGAATGCGTTTACTCAAGCAAATGCACAAAATGAACACCAACAATGGTCTGAGTGGGTGACTACATGGAGGTTGAGGGTTCGATCCCCGGTCTGGTAAGTAAGTAATGCTTATTTATATAAGCGCTTTGGGGGAGCAAGATCCCCCAAAGCGCTTTACAATGTTCAAAGTTCAGTATCAACACACAGTGATGACAGAAGCGAGACACACTGACGCATCAAAGGTAAACCGGAGCACCCGGAGGAATCCTACACAGACATGGGGAGAACATGCAAACTCCACACAGAAAGGCGGTGGACCTTTTTGCTGTAAAACACAAGCTCTAGCCGCTGCGCCTGTGTCGTGTAGTACTCTGAGAGACGTGACAATCCTGTAAAAGCGTTATTATTATTATAAATATCCTTATTATTACAGCCAGGAGTGAGACTCTTCCATAGCGTTGCAGTTCACACATTTTCCCTGCAATGTTGTATTTTTGACTAACAAATTCACACTGAAAAAATGCTTCTGACTTTTTTCTCAAATCCCAAATTTCCCTAATCCTCTAAATCCACTACAAATACAGTGTACTTAAATTATTAGTTTGCATAATTCTTGTAAGCTCTGTTCTCCCCCACTTCAGAACACAATGTTTCTTAAATTCTGCACACTGTACGCATTACATTTAACTTGACTGGCAGCCGTTTTGATGATTTCACTGATTCTCAAGACCCCAAACTATGTGAAAAATGAAACCAGATTCTGAAAGATGGGATTGTTTACTTTCATCAGCAAAAATACGTTTGTTTCTAGCTATTTTTGTTGTCCTGTAATCCCCAGTCTAATAGAGGGTCCCAGACAAATACGTCAATGAGTTAATGTCTGTATATTTCTACAGCACATTCTACTGCTTCCTTACAATGCCTGAACCCTGAGTGTTTTCTCCTCGCCTCTCTCCAATTGCACGTTTAGTTTGACAAGCACTCTGCCAAATGAGAAACTAGAGCCCTGGAGTTTGGCACAAAAGGAAATCTTCAGGTTCTGCTTTGGTTGTTATGCATCTTTTTGCATAAGTCAACCTGTAGTTTCTACTGTACACAAGAGAACAAAAAGGGCAAATCCATTTTTAGAGTTTTTGACATTGATGTTATAGTTGTTTTCATCACGTTTGCACCACTGCTCCTGACATGTTGCTCTGGTGTCGTTCAAGGATCGGTCAAAGGCAGAGGACACGTGTGAATATAACCTTAACCATAAAAAGACCAACATTGTATTAAACATGACTCATAATAAGAAATAGATTTTACTTGTGGGATGGAGAATTGAATACAAAGTAAAGCAGAGATATTTTTTGCTGAAGGCCATGGTTTGTGAGCATT